GACTAGATCTATTCTAGAATCCTGTCAGATTCGATAGGATTTCTTTGGCAAGATTAGCTTCTGATAGTATGATGTCGTAAGTTGAAGATTTCTGCTAATCAGATAGCAATAAAAGTTTTCATGTTGTACCCGGCAATATCTGATCCTTCAAAATTGCTAGGTTGATTACAGATGCCGTGGTATGTTGCTAGATTACCTTACGCTATTGATTTATTGTCAAAATGAAGTAATCCCTCTCCCTCCGAGTTTCTCCATATACAATCACATTTTGGACTATCGTATGTCTCTAAACCGTACACAGAGAAATAAAATCGTATACGACGAAATACAGGGTAAAACGAAAGCCGTAGACAAACTTTGTATGTCCATAAACGATCGTATTTCTGCGCATACGATCACGGAGTTATACGATCGTAATACTGGACGATATGAAACGCCGTATTTCTCCGATTACAAGCGTGTTTGGTTGACATGAGTTAATATTGACAACGATTTGACGATATTTGGAAGAAATCGGATATGATGAAGTGCGATAGCAACAAACAGGGGTGCCCCACTGACCAAAAAGCAGAGGATCATACAATCTACCCTATACAAATAAGTCGTTTTCTACAGAACGCGGGAAGATGATCATATTTCACTGGAAAAAACCAAGCGTTTTCGATAGCACGGGGTCAAACGATTTCTCACAAATCTGCTGTCTGGGCACCATTGCAACTAATGTATTAATTTACGCTAGGAAACGGAAAAGTGAAACTGACTTGCGAAAAATGATCAAAATCATGGAAGAATTGTTGAAAATTGAAAAAAAACGAAAAAATACCTTTCTCATATGCGGAGTCATCCGAAAAAAGGAACAAAAAGCAGGGAAAAAGACGTTTAATGAATTCTGATCGTTTCTGTTTCTGTGTGCCTACTTAGTCAGATAGAGTAATATTATAGTCAGATACTATGCAAATAGAATGGTGTATTTTTCTAATGTTTTCCTGTTTTCTAATGCATACATGAGCAATTGCACAAAAATCTCCATGAACAATTGGAAGTTTCGTTTCTTTTTTACTCTTTCAAGTCATATTCAACATATATTGATAAAGTACGAGTTTTGTCGGATTTATAATACTATTGTGCCAGTGAGTTTCAGTTTTCTTCGGACGAAACTGTATGCCTCTTTTTCTCCTCTTGTTTCCAAGAACGCAGAGTCTCTTTTTTCCTCTTTTTTTTTACAAAGTGTTGGTGGGATGCCAGGCTCCATTCAAAGGAAAATCAATGAAAAACAAAGAGGGATTTCCATCTATTACTATGTTCATTCCATAAGTTAAAGGCTTCAATATGAAATGATTGAAATTGATTTACTGACTCTAATCATACCACAAGGAAACATATCTGGTTGATAGAAAAGTTTCGAGGATATTTGGTCGTGGTAGATAGGACTCATCGAGGCGACAAAACTTGAAAAAAATCATGAACTAAATATATAGCTTCCATTCAAATGGTGACCATTTTATCGTACTTTCGACCTATTGCAAAGAGTTGAGAGAAAACCCAAATGAAAAAGTTCTCAGAGCAAGTCCTTTGGCATTGAAATATGAAGAACGATGGAGCCTGTTTTCTTTTCATATAAAGACTCTGTATACATTTGCCACAGCTCCAGACACGACATAAGTGGCAGTATGTCAGGATTTCGGTCACGTTCTGTGGCAAAGTTCAACATACGTGATTTAAGCAAGAAAGAAATGTTTTACTTCCGGATTATAAATCCATTTATTTTCCAAAAATCGATTTAAAAACCAATATATCGAAATAGAAACATTGAAAAACATTAAAATAATCACGAAAACATCACTATCATGGTCTGAGAGGCAAACAAGAGAGGAAAGAATTAATTTAATTTTCTCGCTATATATTTCAACACGGAGTAGCAGTCGTGTTCCACAATATAGTGAGAATAGCTTTGTACCTGAAAACTATCTACCGCTCCTCCTTACAGACATTCTTTGCCACTTAGAGATCCTCTCAAACTTTACAGGCAGCTCACTTTCTTGATACTAGATCGAGTGATGCCATATTATTCGAAAAGGGCAAGTGTTTATGTCATGCCCATGACTCTTATAATGGTCACCATTACTAAACTGAGCCTCATTTAACGTTAACAAGCTTGAGTTTTTTGTATTGAATACTGAAGTATCAAGTGAAATTTCCTATAAGTCTCTAAATCGCTCAAATACTCGTTACATTAGTTAAAATAACAAAATAATACACTCGGAAATATTAATTGTTGCGATCGAACTCTTATATGCTCGAGTGAAAAAGTGCAGACCACTGGTTAGGCTCAATCAATAATACAGCTAAATGATTATTTTATTTAGAACTTTGGTGATTTTGAGTAATTCTCAATAACATAAACCTAGATAATGCTGAATAATATTTTTGTTTTAACAATAATTGTATTCGGAAATTTCGGAAAAGTATGCGTGCCTACCATTGCATTTACAATAAGGCTTCCAAATGATTAGATACGATTGCACTGAAACTTGACTGTAATATTGAACCCTATATTATTCATACACCACAGGGAATTTTTCCAGAAAAATTTAGGTATCGCAAAAATCCGAGGTTTTCTCCTTTGAAATATGATTTTACGATCCCTGCCTTAGCCTGTGTCAGACATTTCGGCATACTGTTCCGTTAAATCTGTTATGTACTGTTATCAATACAGAGATGGTTTTCATGTACAATTATAAAATATCTCTATCGTAGTTCACATTTTAATCCTGTGTTGGTGCACTGAAAACTCTTCATTTTCTGTTTCATCAAGGTCAAAATGCCGCAAAACTCTGAGAATCAAGAAAAACAACCGACAAAGAAATCGACTGCTCGGAGAGGATGCCAGCTGATAAGAGTGAGTGAAGGAGCATGGAAAAGTAGAGCTTTTGATACACTGCCAAAGGACATCAACAAAGATTTCTGGCAAAAAAGGATGACATGTTGGGAGAGTGGTATTAAAGAGTGTGAAAAAATCGGATGGCGTCCTCTCTGAACAGTCGCAAAGACGTTCTTCTATCTCAAACTTTAGCCGATTTTGAATAGGAAAACCCAGGGTAGTTCCAAAACTCAAAAGGAATTGAAAAAAATCCTTTTTTGTACGACATGAAATTAATATGCAATCTTTATACCTACCAAGTTTATACTCAAATTCAGCAATTAATTTTTGAAAAAAGGGCTCCGCTGTAGCTACAGTTATTGAAAGTCTGCGTCAGAGCTGCTACTGTAACTCAGTAGTTACATGAATACAAAAATATAACTAGTGGAAATAAATCAAATTTTTACTGAGTTGAATAGAGGATTTGAAAAAATAACTCTATGTCGCAAATGAATATCGTTCAACGTCAATTGGACGCATCAAAATTTTTGATCGTATCCTAGAGTTAAATCGCACCTTCTTACCACTATACGATGAGCTGACGAAAATCGTTGTGAAAAAATCAATCGACCAAAAATGAATATTATCAAATGCTATTTGGATGAGTAATTAATTCGAAATTCGTTGCAGTGCACGTCAAAATCTGATTTACATTAGAAGATAATTATTTTCAATAGATCATATTTATAATAAACGATTGTGCATAAAGACTTTCTATCTTTTGAGTTCTTTCAGATAATGAAATACGTGTTCGTTTTTCGTTCTACTCTCAATGCATGGGTTATCTATAGGATAAATGAATCTGTTCATTTTAAAAATAGAATCGATCAACATTTTACCTTTTGATCAACAGTGTAATTGTGACGAAAAAACTTCGATCTTTATATCATCGTAGGGATACAGTTACAAAAATGAATAGATTATTTATCACCGATGCAAAATTTGACTAGATATGTCTGTTTTGTGAATAAAGCATTTTTCTAATTGCACCATAATATGTTACTCTTGCCTTTTTAGCCGACTTGTTTGAAGGTGACATGCTATTTCCACCTTCAATGAATCCGATAGACGTAAGTGAATCATGAATTTTGTAATTTTGATTGCATTCATCTATCTCTCTTCCTACCAAAATTAAGCGTGGAGTAGCACTTCGTGGAGACGAAGTGGTTTGGACCGATGGGATTATACCGTATGAAATTGCATCAGGATATGGTAAGTGTCTGTTCCTTAATAGAAATATTTATAAAGACTCGTTATCATGTCATTTATTGATTCATCAATTGACCTGTTAGTCAAAAAGTAGTCCATTTTCTTTTGCCTATCATAGCTTCGGCACAAGAAAAATTTATTATTGCTTCGATGGAAAAACTCGAACGTTTGATAGCAATCAATAATGTACAATGTATTCGGTTTCGACCTAGAATTTCTTCTGATCCATATTATATTACGATTGTTAACGGATTCGGTTGTTCATCCCATGTAAGTAAATTGATCATTTACAGGACTAAAAACATGTCTATATGTATTCGACAAAATTTTCCTTTCATATCGTCTTAGGTTGGACAAAATACCGGTGTTGATATGATTCGCCGAGTGACACTACAATATCCAGGCTGTTTTCTTGAAGCCATCATAATGCATGAACTATTGCATACACTAGGTAATTGTGTATAAAACTAAGACTCATGTTCTGCTTGAAGTCGATATCTAAGAGAAAGAAAAAGCTGAGATATTTTATCAAATACGAGATGAAATTTTAGCCACGATCAGTTCTAATCGTAGGAAAAAGTTTATTTTCACGAATGCAGAATTCGATTCTATATAATGTGTCTATCACACTCGGCCTATTTTATTCTGGTGGTTGATTTTCTTTCGAATGATGTTTTGGCAAATTTTTGCAATTAATTGTACATAGATTTGAAACAAATGCCGCTAAACTGTGTTCTACTTTCTAGGCAATCTTTTCATATCGTTGTGCGATCGTACGCGACTGTACCATGAATCATACATGCCTATTTCGTTAAACACGAATGTTCATGAATGTTGAGTTGTATGATGGAAAACTTGGATCGATCTTGACCTATACGATAGACTTCAACAGAAATTTGGCTATAAGAAAAAAGGGAGTAACTTCTGAAATTTTTTCAATAATTGAATTTTGGATTCGGAAACGAAGAGAAACCAAAATATGCTTTTTTCTTTTTCTTTTGCTCGATATGATAATTTGGTCTTCGTCATGTGCTGTGAAAGACAGATTGACATAATAGTCGTGTCATATGATCAAGATTAATGACTATACGTGACATCGGTTCTCATTTACGATTAGAAATTTTGTATAGAATTTCACTTGTCTACTGAGCAACAAACTGAACAATAAATTATTTTGTTTTTCAATTGATCTGACGCATGCGTAAGGTGTAATTGCACTTATATCAACAATCGTATAATTGATTTCTGCTGATTAAGAGTTATCCTAGTTCAGTTTAAATAAGTACCTGTTTTGTCCTTTATTAATTTACAAAAGTTCGAGTGGACTAGTAGGTTTTAGATGTCTTTTTATGTTCAAGATGGATATTCGACAACTAGTATAATTTTCTAGATTAATGCGCAGTGAATCGATTAATCACGCCGTAAGGATGAACACAATCGAGTCCGCTTAAAACTCAAACATTCGAGGTATAATCGGAGAATATTAATTTCACAGTTTAGAAACTATTCAAATTAGTTCGAACTTTGACATTTCCTATTTAGTTATTATATTAGCATGGTCAGTTTTGTGATAGACGGTAGAAGATATGTGTTGAAGTAGAATAAGCCAACTATAGAAATTTTCAATGCAATGCTTATGATTTTCGAATGTGAAACATGATGAGTAAGGTGGAATTGTACAACAATAGGCTCTCGGTATTGATCGTATAACGACACAAGATCAAATGGAAAATATTTGTAATTTACTGTCACAGTCTGTAGGGTAACTGGGGCTTTTACGTTTTTCATTATACCCTTCGGTCCTCATTCATAATCGTGGTTAATAAAAAAAACCACTCATAGTGAATCATACATAAACTATGACTATTGAATATTAGAGTCTATGACATTTTCCATGCGAAACCTTCTCATTGAATTTGAATGAATTCATAACAACTGATGTTTTGAAAAGTGTTCAACATTCACTGACTTTATGCTCTTTGAAAATTTCACTCTCATTCTTTCATCACAGGTTAGCATAATAAATCTGGAATGCGATGGCACATATGCATAAGGAAGAAAACATTAAATGGAAGACCAATCGAGGATATCCTTCAGCTGCTTTTTAGTCTCTTCAGTTGACAGCTGAAAGAGAAATTCCAAAATGTTCAATCCAAATATATCTTGAGTATTATACAAAACGTTGTGCTAGGCTCACTAAAATAGCACGATACCTTCGAAATAAAGATGAATCGAATGACAAAATTGTGAGGCACAACTGACAATAAGTATTGGAGTATATGGTAAGAAAAGTGAATGCTCTAAAGACTTGCTCTTCGAACAGTAGTAGACGTTTTGACATGCTGTTTCTTTGATCTTGTCGTGGATTACGATTGAAACGAGGGAGGGGGGGGGGGGGGGGAGGGTTATATATGTCAAACTTGAACTCTATTAAACAAAAGTTGAAAGTTGAAAAGAAACTTCCACTTTCAATTTTCAACTTTCAAATAAACATAGCCACCCTCACGATGCAGATACCGTGAAAATAAAGATAATTCAAAGTTGAAACTTGATTAGTAGCTGTTCAATTTAATTCAACCTTCAAATTTGACACTACCGTGGACAGAAACGGTCTTCATGCGCGATGAAAACGGCTTTGTCGTCTGTCCTATTTTAATCCAGTAGGAATTATGCTGACAACTTTTCTATTCGAAACTGTTTATCTATAGAAATGGAGGTTATTTTCTCTAGTACTTGAGAAAAATTGAGGGAACTATTTTAGCGTCTTTTGTTACAGCTTATTGCTACAACAGCAATAAATGACGAGTAATATACTTGTTTGTACTTCAGAGCAATTTTGTCTCGAATTTTTCTGCATTGAACACATCAATATTTTTCAAGAACAGAAAGAACAGCAACATAGATTTTATCAAATACGTAAACAAAAACTTTTAACCCAATCGATCAATATCTTCGCAGTAAAGTGGAAGATATAGATGATATTTTCAGTGAGAAATTCTTTTTAGCACGAAAATCAATATAGCATCGAATCACTCGTTACTGTGAATACGACTTTAGGTTTTTTGTAAATAACATACTTTCACATGTTGTTGACTATGGTAAATTCAATAAGGTTGAATTCATGTACATTGCTTTTGTTTGTCAGAATCGCATGATTCATTTGTGCGATTGTGTGAGTTGATTTCTGTGATTATCCGATTGTATTGATTTCCTGAGGTTATATCGATGTTGGAATAGCGATCCCTAGAAGTTGGTTAAAGTAATATTTTGTCATCGAATCGAGTAATTGCCACAACTTGATTGCCATTTCAAAAGTTGCTTTAAAACTGCTGTTTTCTTCTGAAATCTAAGTTGATCGAATTCAGCATCGTCGGTTACATATAGAAAAGACGCTTGTTTCAGAAACAAGCAATTAATAGCATTCACTACGTAGTAGCGGAGTCATTATGAGAGAGAGCGGGCTGAGTCCTTGTTGGAGGACTGAAACTATTGCAATCAGAGGATCCAGTCCTTTCCGTGGATCGAGAAAAACTACTCTGAGTGTCATCTCATTACATGAAGTAGCAGTTGGGAAAATTTCAACAACAAAACAGAATCTTTTCCGATATTTTTGTAACGAAAACATGAACTGAAACAACTAGTTGTTGAAATTTTTTGACAGTCTGTTACAAGCAACCCAGAAAAGTGAGTTCAAAATTTCGAAGGAGAAAATCTTTAGTTTATAGCAAATTTAACTACTAATGGCTGATTAAGTGTTTGCGACTATCATCGACGCATTCAGCATGGCTCGAGATCCTTCTTGTACTATGAGAAAGTGTGAGTTCAAAATTTAGAAAGGAGATTTTGACGACGACTAGACATTTGTCAGTTGGGAACCTTCGTACCTCATATCATTGAGCCGTTAAAAGTGAAAATTGATAAAAACGAGCAAAGTAGACGAGCTTCAGTACCCTAACGTTGGTTAAAAAAACGGCAAAAAACTGATGAAAACCGGTCAGTTTTAATAGCTCAACCGGACCAGATCGATAACCGGCGAACAGATTCGTTTGGCTTTAAACTTGCTATGAAGACTTTAGTTGAAATCACTACAATGTGTTCTTTGTTTCTGTTTCTAACTAGGCTTCTTTCATGAACAGTCACGACCGGATCGTGATGATTATATTAAAGTCAATTATGAAAATATAATACCAGGTAATAGAGCAATCTTTTCATGATAATATTGCTATTTGAATATCATAAGATCAATCTTTGTTTGTTGTCTTCTTTAAGGTAGAGAACACAACTTTGAAAAATATAATAACACTGTAGTCGACATGCTAAATACATCCTATGATTATGAATCAGTGATGCACTATCCATCGAATGCATTTTCTGTGAATAATCATTCAACAATCGAGCCACTTCAACCAAATGTTACAATTGGTCAACGTTTCAATTTAAGTTCGATCGATATACTAGAAGTTCGAATATTGTACAACTGCTTAGACACTGGAGTTACATTGCCACCAACTACAACAACCACAACAGGTAACTAGCTAATCCCATTCGCGTATTCTTGTAGAGTGAGCCAATGTTGAATACATGTCAAAGAGAAACTGTAAACGCTCGATAAGCACATTGTCTATACAAAAATTGACTTCAAGTATAAAGTATTGACTTCACAAGATTCTATGACGATGGATGATTGAGAAGATGCAAATGAATTGAAACAAATTCTAAAAACTAATTCATTCTATTAGTAAGCAACATTAGAATAGCGCAATCATACGTACGAATCGCATCCTTTCATAGCACTTAGAAACTTGTTTTACAGGTAGTTAGCGCCTTTTTTTAGGACTCATTCTGATTATCAACGATGATACAACCGATTGGCCAAAAATTTTATGATAAGTAACTCATTGAAAAACCAAATGGCTAATGTTTGATCAGAATAAAGATCAATAGTGCAGCTTTTTGAGAAAGCTCTCAATTTTCATGGGGTTTTCTTCAGTAATTTTATATTTTGTGTCGTAAAGACAATATTATAATTGCACAACGCTTGAACTTAGTCCAAGAGACTTAGTTCAAGAACTTAAAAGTGGCCGACGGAAACAAACTGTTTCATAGATTAAAATCATGTTTTCTTTTTCTAATAGGCATTACATATACGGTGAATACGACAGCCACATCGTCGTGGACTTCGAATAGTCCAACATATTCTCCCTCGAGTGGTCCAAACTCAACTCACCACTACTATGATACATTCGATCTGACAGTACCAATGTTTTGTACTTACACCATCGGCAGCAATAGTATTATTGATACCTATGGCTACTTGTATAATGGCAGTTTCAATCCAACTTCTCCGGAATCGAATTTATTGACTTACGACGACGATGCTGGTGGGAATGGGCAGTTTCAGTTCATGTTGGATCTTGAGCCTGGTGTTCGATATATTTTGGTTACTACAACATTTATTGAAAGCGTCATTGGACCATACACAGTGACCGTATTTGGGCCAGCAGGAGTCCATCTTATTCGAACAACGATCACAGTCACGACACAAACACCTTTGACAGCGACAGATATTAGCATTACTGTACCAACCAGTAAGTAAACATATATGAAAATAGAATACACATCTCTCTATCATTTGTTTTTTTGTTTTATCGAGTCGAATTACTAATTAGTTGCAAAACATTATTGAGAAAAGTCATAAATAGTGTTTACTATGAAGGGAAGAACTCGTACCATAGGATTTCTTTCGAGTTTCGAAAAGAAAATTCTGATTTATCAATATCAATGTATGTTCGTATTTCAGGGTAATTATAATTTCTTGCACTAGAGTAGTGATCGAAAACTTATATTAAAAATCAAAACTTTAAATATGATTTTCGATGATTATATTATTCCAAGATTGCACTATAAAGAACAGATTCAACGATGAAATTGGTATTTTTGATTTAGATTTTCGTGAGAGTGATGCTAGATGAATTAAACACGAAAAGCACCATCTAGCGACTGATATTGAGTCCATTTTTGTTTTCAAAAATTGTACACCGAATCAGATCGAAGTAATTTCATGAGAAAGTGTTCCTCTGTTTCATAAAAAGAATTCATGATTGTGGATTTTTATTTATTAAAAGGAATACATGTAGTTGCACAGAAATTTTCGATACATAGGCCTCTACATAATTTCAATTTAATGCAGAATAATACACACAGGCTTGAATTAGAAAGTTTTCGTTCAATTTATTTGGAGGTTTTAGCGTTTTAGTGAATTTTCGCGAAACATTTGACCAATGAATCTAGCTGGACTGCATATGTTGGAATGACGCAGTGGGAATAATTGAGAAAGAACACCGGATATCCCTTTTAGTTGTTCTTAACGTATAATTGAGCAAGAGTTTAGAGTCAGTTCTCATAGTATTTTAAAATTTTTCTCGAGTTTGAGTCGAAAAGTAGATAATTATAGACAGGTTTAGTAACAGTTCTTTATCATTTTGTGAAACACAATTGGAAATCAGTTTTGTAATATATAGCGACAAAAGTGATATCACCATCTTCTCGCCTGCTTTATAGACATGACATGTTAAATTTTTCGAACACAAAATTTGTATTATGGAATTAATATTAGAATAAATAATTATTTTAAAAATGTAGGGTGTGAATGTGAAGAGTTGTTGTGGACGTAGGTGAACAAAAAGAAGATCCAAACCCACATCCGCAAGGTCAAAATGCGATCACTGGATGTTTCCATCAATATCTTGTTAGAGAGTGAAAGTTTAGTAAGACGATAATAACTTTCGAAGGAAGGCCCATTAACTCAAATTCTTTCGTGTTTCTTTCTACCCGACGTGTGTTCTATCTATTGCGAAAGAATAAATTCAAAAGCTCCTAATCAATTGGAGTGATCCCTTCGTGAGAAAAACAGCGCAGAAAAGAAAGAATTAGCAGAGGCGAAAATTCGATAAATAATGAAAATTGGAATCTGCAGAATACTGATCAGTTAACTAAATAAGCTTTCGTGTGTAAAACAGTAAAAAACGCATAATAAATTGAATAATATCGGGAGAATATTAGGTTTTCTAAGTAATCAACAATGAGAGCCCTTCGAGTTATTCAACTAGGTCGAATACTTCGTTGGCAAAATAATTGTGTAGACTGTAGACTTGATCTTGAAAGATCAGTGTCTTCTTGTCTTTATTGTCTATGTATTCGCTTTAATTTGAAGTCTCAGTTGTAAGACAACGATTTCGTTTGTTTTTGTAGACTTACTTTCCATGGAGCGACATATAACGAGAGATCAAATAGTTCTCTTCACTTCTTGATGTAGATTATCAATATTTGATGTCTCTGTATTTGTACTTCTCTTTACTCTCTTCTGTTAGTTTTTTGCATTGTTTCCTCTCCTGATTTTAGGGCATATTCAAAGAAAGAGGTATCCTATATAATTTAACATTGAAATCTGCTGTAAAAAAGAATTGATGTAGATGCTATTCGAATGAGTCATTACCTTTAAAATCGAATTCCAATTAGCAGAGCAAATTTCACAAAAAATCGTTCTTCATTACAGACAAATACTTTTATTCATGACAGTTTTATAGTCGCATTGCTCGTCTCAACAAGTATACAGTTGATATGTTCTGTGAAACTTGAACTGTTGCTCCTTTCTTCAGAGAAAATAGCACTGATTTTTGAAGGTAGTCGGCCACTAACCATTTGTTAGTGAGAGACAAGTATTATCGTATCGCGTATGTACAATGTTTTCTATTGTTTCAAGCAACGGATATGTGTATAAGAGTATGGAAACGGAAAGAATCCACTAGAGAGTACGAAAAACAATATACATGATCCATATAGAAAGGAAGAAAATCGAAAAGGAATGTACTTGACCATACTGTAGCAAAGAAAACGTATATGTATTCACTTATGACTGCACAACGAAAGAAGGTATAGATGCAATATATATACAGTGGAGTGCAAAAATAATTGCCGTTAGTATTTCATAAATTCACTCTACTAAACACAACGAATATTGAAAGTTCTTTTATATATAGATAATAGATACATCAGGGTATACAAATATAATAATCAATAGTTCGCTCTCTTTCCTTTCAGTCAAAAAAAGCAGTAAAACATATAGCTTCATTGATGCACTCAAATAACTTAGGGTCATTTTGCCTATGTACATGGATTATGTTCTAGCCTAAACAGTGTGTTCGAGAAAAAGTTAAAGAAGGTATGAACCTCGTTTTGAATCAAGATCTTGTAGCCGAAGTTTCAGCTCGATACGACGTCTTCTTGTTTTTTAAGGTGGGAAAGAAACCCAACACCACCTTCGCAACTTGTGACCCCTCTTTGACGCTGAAAATGAATTTTGAGAATTCTGCACTTGGAACAAAATCTCATCTAATAGCTGAGAACTGTCTATTCTGAAAATTTCAAGTTGTTCGAACAAGCCACTGTCGAGTTAGTACAAAAATCGGGTTGGGGCGCCGTTTTTGCTGATCGTTCTACACACCGTGATGTTTCATTTGCTTTTAAGATCCCATGTGGTTGGAGCTCATTTGCATGTCGTTAGATACTATGAACAGAAGCCTTCTTTAAGAATACGATTTTTGCAGCTCAGCGATTGTCCTAGTCCCGGCAGTGTAAGATGACCTCTTGATATACTAGAAAAGCAGTGGAAACTCGAATCACGATGTCTCTCGCTCTACTGAACGATACTTTTTGAGAAGTCTCACCCTCACTGCAATCTATAGTACATCCTTGATTACTGATAAAAGTTTAAGAAGAATTCATTCATGCGCTTGACAGATATGGCTCGAGGAAATGTGTAAGTGCAGCGGCAATTATTTTTGCACTCCACTGTATATATGACGGGATCACAACAATAACAGAAAGAAAACTATGATAAACAAGTGATGAAGTCACAGAATAGATTCGAAGAGTTGAACGATAATATCGACTATCATGAACTGTGAGATTGTGTGTCGTTTTCTTTCGAGCAGGATATAGAAAAACAATAAAAAATACCATCCTTTGGTGTTTATTTTACGCCACCTCTTGAAAGCGAACGCCATCAAAAAAGACCACATGTCGGAGCTGCATCTAAACTGATAGGAATCGTTCTTTCGAGGAATGATCGGTAACTTCAACAGACTTCAACTTTTTTAATAGGCATCAGAGATTAAAAGCGAAAAAATTTGTGACATTGTAAAGCTTTTGAAATTCACAACGGCAACCGACCTACATTTCTCTACTTACTATAACATTATTTGATATTCTTGACTAAATTTCATGCGAGAAGAATATTCTTTTCCATTAAAATTTCTCTAGATTGAACCTTTTTTTGTTTTTCCAATAGCCATTAGGTATGCGGTGAATACGACTGCCTCGTCGTCATGGACTGACAATAGTCCAACATATTCTCGCCCGAGTGCTTCAAACTCAACTCACCACTACTATGATACATTCGATCTAAGAGTATCAGTGGTTGGTTTTTACACCATCGGTAGCAATAGTATTATTGATACCTATGGCTACTTGTATA